GAATGCGCCGCAAAGACTGATGGTGAATCCAGTCGAAAATTGCTCAGAAGTCAAGGAATGCTACATGTCAGGGTAGTTGAAAGCTCCTTCCCTGTATGATTATCTTTTCTACTATGGCGATGTTATCCGTATGTGAGAGAGTCTAGTTCGGAACACTCTTTGATTTGATCGAAGCGAATCGTCAACTGCGTTCCTAATTCTTCAGAGGCGGATTCACGCGAACACCTATTCCAGCAAAGACAGAAGCGTGGTCCAGCGGTAGTTGGCGCAGTCAGAATGATTCCCAGTTTGAATATGGGAATGATCACGTCCTGCTTCCAGACCTCAGGGATATCTGACTTCTGGCAGATGCTATCAATAAGAAGATGGATACCTGTGGGATTTAGGGTTTTGCCTGGGCACTTCAGAGTTTTCGCACTAAGCCTGCCATGCCCGCAGGATTTCTAACTCTGGCAGAGACGTATGGCATCTCGGATTTCATCATTTGATCGAAAGGAGCAGTTAATTTTCAGTTCTTTGCGATCTCCGAATTCTATTTCTACGTTATCCACTGCATCCGATTGATTTAGGAGCTCTTCGAAGGGTTCAACCCATCTCCTCTTACGGCTCTTTGAATCTGGAAGGGTCTCGGTTGACGAATCAATAGGCTAAGGGATTATGTTTCCCCCCGTTGGTAATGATGCTGATTTGCCTGTTTTCTACTCTTTCTTCAAGGCCGTCTGCTCCAGATTCTGCGTTTCGGGTTTTATTCAGTGCCGCTTGTCAAGTGGTAACTCCTGTTAATTGCTTTCACAAAATACCGACATTCTTGCTTCTTCGTTTATTTAGGGCTATGTAAGAACTCCTGCTTCGTCGCGTCTTTTCGGCGAAGAGTGAGGGCTTCTTCTGAGAATCACGGGTGGTTCAACGATTTCCTTAGGCCGAGTATATCTGCTTAGTACCGAGACACTCTGTATGAGCTGTTGGTACAGCAACTACGAGTCCTGGCAAGTCAAGTACTTTACAACAGCGATTGAGCCGTTGATTTCGTTTTGGTACGTCGTGCAAGTTTCTGGATCTTTTAATTTGCTGGTGTCGAATTCGAATCGGGTATTTGCCCATTTCTATGCTGTTCTCCTAGATGCAGAGAGTTGGAAGCTAAGAAGTGGTCGGAGACAGTGTCAACTCCGCGCTGGTTCTTAATGTTTTGAAGGGCACTTCGCCACATCCTGTTCATCAATACATGGTCCCGCTGGCTCCTGA